TCCCTTACTGACTGACCCAGGCCAAGTTGTAACTGGATAAGAGGGAAAGACTATCCATTTTCTATAGAATGGAGGTGATGGGATAGAGTGAAGTTATTTCTTTTGCATTTTATAACTTTACTTTATGCACTTAGGCTTGACTCAGAGTACCTGTATTTCTCTTGGTCTGGGGGCTAGGCTAAATGACAAGAAAGCAGGAGGTAATTTAGGGAAGAAAGGAATGCTTGATGAGACAGTTGTGTTTAGTGTAGTTCCAGGGAACTGTCTTGCAAGCTTAGGAAGCTGATACCCAGCCTGGGCTATATAGAGAGCTTTTATTTCCTTCTTATGGTGGATTGCTGAAAAAAGATCACTGGTAAAGCATAAAGCCAACTTCAGTCTTATAAGTCATTCTCTGTACTTCATTCTATTTATCAAATTGTTAAAAACAAAACAACATTGACCCAGCTAATTAAAACTTAGTGCTCTCTCTCCAAGCAACACAGTATCAGCACTGAGGTTGGTAGGAATGGGTAATATTTGGAGGTAAAGAAATGGGAAGGATGCTGGGAAGGGTCATTTTAAGTTAATGTATCATCTTAGTTTTCTTTTTCTTTTCTTGAAGTGTGTGGAAAGTACACAATGATGTGGAACCCCAGATCTTTCTTAAGTGTAAGCCTTGAATGTTGCTTTTATGAAGTAAAACATGAAAGATGGTAGAGAAAATGGTATAATGGGACATTTCTAGAAGTTGTTGATGTGGTTGGAGGATACTCTGACCAGTAGTTTGCTGGTATAGTTGAGTGATGCCAAGGAGAGCTGCATGATTGATGTGAAAGATGGAGATGGTTGGAGAGATCAGGATTTGGAATGGCTCCTAGAGCACACATACATCCTGATCTCTCTAATTAGGTCAGATCTCCCAGTGTAGGCTCTCATAGCATCCTGTGCCATTCCTTGGTAGCACTTGTGTCCCCTTTGCATTCCTCTTCTTCCTGTGTTACTTTATTGTCTCCAACCATACTTGTACTGGTAAACTTCGTGAGGGCAGGGCTCAAGTCTGTTTATAGTTACTACTAGAGGTCTGATGCATGAAAATTTGTGCAAGAGTGGGCCTTCCTTCCCCTGGCTGCCAGCACCGGCTTCCCTCCAGCACCGGCTTCCCTCCAGGACCTGGGCTTTCCTCCTCCGGCCGCCCACAGGCACCCGGGCTGCTTCCCTCCTCTGGCCGCCCACAGGCACCCGGGACCCCAGCCAGCTTCCCTCTGGCCCCGGCTTTGTCAGGAAGGATGTCTGGAATGACGTCAGGAAGGATGTCCGGTCTAATTAGCTTATTACCCTTTTATTATTATAGACTAGAGGCCCAGTGCACAAAATTGTGCAAGGGTGGGGTCCCTAGGCTTGGCTGGTGATCAGGGCCTATTGGGGCTGTCTTGCCCAGTCCCGATCAGGGCCAGGCCTGCTGCTGGCTGGGGCATGCCTGCCGGGGGCTGGGAGCCTGCCTGTTGCCAGCCGGGCTCTGCTGGCTGCTGGACGGGGCCTGCCAGACTGGGGGAGGGACTGCGGGAGGTTGGTTGACCATGGGAGTGCACTGACCACCAGGGGGCAGCTCCTGCGTTTAGCATCTGCCCCTTGGTGGTCAGTGCACATCATAGCAACTGGTCGACTGGTTGTTCTGGTCCTTTGGTCGTAACAGTAGCTTAGCTTTTATATATAGAGATAGATAGATTTTATCCCTGGTGCCTAGTATACTGACAGGCACATAATATATAAATTAGCAAATACTTGCTGAATGAGTGTGACTGCTTTACTGGATCCACTTTATCATGCAGAGATATAATATTACCTCCAACTTACTGATTAAGGTGGGCTTACTTTTCAAGCTCCTGGTTGAAAAGATGCTCCAGTAGCTTTTGGTGTTAAGGATGTTGAAGAACTTTGAAGAATACAGAACAGTGAGGCAGATAACTGTGCAGACACTGTCATTGTACATAATGGGTTCTCCCCTCTCCCCAGTTTTATTGGTGTAGTCCTCACTTTGTAGTAGAATTACAGTTTTGTTGATAAATATTACCTTCTTTTTTAGAATGGCCTCATATTTCTGAAGTCTGTTCAAGGCTTTCAGTACTAGTATTGTCATCAACTGAATCCGTGAGGACTGCAGCTCTCAGCATAGGCACAAACTCCTACCTTTCCTGCGATGAATTTTTACCCACCCTCTACCCCTGTGAGTGCAGATTAGTCACTGAGATTCTGAGAAGGTGTTTTCACCCTTGTTTCTGATCTGAGATGCTTTTAAAATTTAAAGAGGGCAGATGTGGATGGGAAGGGGTTCTTGAGGCGAGATCTCACTCTCATGGCTGCAATTCCTACTATAGTGCTGTTCTGTCAGATAATAGTGGTGTCGTTTTTTGACAAAGCGCTATTTGTGCTGGACTGTGATTGCTCTATTAGTGAACTAGAAGCTTAAGAGAGTACTTAAAGATTTTACTGTTCTTATGTTAAGTCTATAGAACTGACTTAAAAATGTGCATTTATAAAAAAACTTAAAACTTGAGCTTTAAGGAATTATCTATATTAGGGCAGAAAGGTAGGGGCAAACATTCTACTTCATGTGGAAACTAGAAATAAAAATATTTCAGAAGTACTGGAACCTTTGAAAAATACTGTTTTTCTAGGATATTTGGTAGTATCTAGGAAGTATCAACAAGTATACAACTAGAAAAAATTAACAAGGGGACACATTGAAGTTCTTTAAAATATGAAGTATTTTTTTAATTCAAAAGTTAATTTGCAAACATTAACTTTTAAATGTTTTACTACAAATTGACTGACAAGCTACAGAATTTTTAGGAGTCTGCTTGTTTTCTTTTTTTTTCTCTGATTTCTGAGAAGCAGACAAAAATTTGCAAACTGAAGAAAGCATCTCTGTTATAGTAAAACAAAGAAAGCTGTTATGCTGTTGCTGTCCTTCATAATATTAAGCAGATACAAGAAGCACTCATTTATTAAAAGAGCTCAGGGATAGTAAGTATCAATTTTTGTTAAATAGTCCCTGAGTTCTTAATATTATCAGTTTCTCTTTCACACATAATTTTTCATGTTTGTTGATTTCTCAGAATTGAAGATTTGCTCACTTTGAGCAAGTGCTATATCTACACTAATAAAAGACAAAGATGCTAATTGACTGTACCTTTGCTATGCCCCAAGCCACGCCCACCAGCCAGTCAGAGTGACTATATGCAAATTAACCCAACCAAGATGGCGGACAGCAGCCACGGAACTGGAGCTAGCAGGAGGCTTGGTTTGCCTGGGCGGTGGAGGAAGCCAAGCTTCCCGCCAGCCCTGAGCTGGCTGTGGCCTCCACTCATGGCAACAAAGTTTCAATTATAGAAGACAAATAAATCCCAGATACCTGCTTCCAGCCAGCCTCCACTGGGAGCTTGGGTGGCTGGGGGTTGTGGCCAGCCTGCAAACAGCCATCAGCCCCTCACCCAGGCTGGCCACACCCTCATGGGGTGAGGGTCCCCGCTGGGGGGCTTAGCTGGCCTGAAAACGGCCCTCAGCTCCTCACCCAGGCTGGCCAGGCACCCCAGGGGGGACCCCCCACCCTGAAGGGGCTGTGGCCAGCCTGCAAACAGCCATCAGCCCCTCACCCAGGCTAGCCAGGCACTCCTATATAATAAAAGGGTAATATGCAAATTGACCCTAACAGCAGAATGACTGGGAATGACTGGTCACTATGACACACACTGACCACAGCGGGGCAGATGCTCAATGCAGGAGCTGCCCCCTGGTGGTCAGTGCGCTCCCACAGGGGGAGCTCTGCTCAGCCACAAGCCAGGCTGACGGCTGCCAGTACAGTAGTGGTGGTGGGATCCTCTCCCGCCTCCTCAGCAGTGCTAAGGATGTCTGACTGCAGCTTAGGCCTGCTCCCCGCTGGCAAGTGGACATCCCCTGAGGGCTCCCGGGCTGCCAGAGGGATGTCTGACTGCCAGCTTATGCCCATTCCCCCAGGGAGCGGGCCTAAGCCAGCAGGTGGTCATCCCCTGAGTGGTCTCAGACCATGAGAGGGCACAGGCCGGGCTGAAGGACCTCCCCCCCCACCCCCCCAAGTGCCCAAATTTTTATGCACCAGGCCTCTAGTATTTTTTATATTCTTGTATTTCCACATGTAGAGTATATAGGAATATGAAGCAGGTGAGAAATTAAGCCAGATTATCTGTTGTACAGAAACTTTACTACCGTGAAGCAGCTGATGTGTTTGAAAGTCCTAGTGGTTCTCTTAAGTCACGGCTGAAGGTGATTGGAAGTTGTCACATCATGTTCAGAATGAGTTGCTTTATTTCATACTTGATACAGTTTCTCGTTGTCTTTAAATGATTGACCCTTTTCCTAGCAGTTTTCGCTCATTGGATAGAGCATGGGCCTGTGGACTGAAGGGTCCTGGTTTCAATTCTGGTCAAGGGCATGTACCTTGGTTTCAGGCTCCTGGTTCTGGTTGTGGGGCATGCGGGAGGCAACCAATCAATGCGTCTCTCTCACATTGGTGTTTCTCTCCGTCTTTCCCTCTCTCTTCTACTCTCCCTAAAAATCAGTGGAAACATAACCTCGGGCAAGGATTAACAAAAACAAAACAAACAAGTAAATGATTGACCTTTTGAATAAAGGAATATTGCACCTGTGCCACCTTTTAGATCAAAAGTCAGCAATAGTAACCCTTTCCATTTAGGGATTAGGCTGTATTACTTGCATATACATTTAAATGGCTACTACATTGACCTTCTAGTTGTTTCTTAGACATGAGACGCACACTCACCTTCAGTGCTAACCCCTCAATCTGGAACACTCACATAGCATCCCTAAGGTCCACCCACTCCCATACTTCCTCCTTTAGAGCTTTGTTCCAGTACCACCTTATCAGATAGGCATTCCCTGACCACCCTCCCTGCCCCCTTTTGTAGAGTTGAAGAAAAGAGCATTTTCTGCAGTGGTAACTATTCTTTTTTCTCATCTCCTAGGTTGTATCAGAGTAAGATGGACGGTAGCTTTGATTGTGATTGTGGTGAGCTGGAGCCACCTGATCACTAACAAAAGACATCTGTTAACCAACAGCTGCCAGGGCTTCCTGTTGAAATATACAGCAACAAAGGAAGACAAGAAGCAAAACGGAAATAGTGCTTACCAGCACCTTAGAACGATGCTGCTCAGGACCAGTCCAACACTGAATGTATCTGCACTGTGAGGAGAATGTTCATAGAAGCCTGTTGTGTGCATATTTATTCACATTTTTGTTAAATGTTAAATCGTTTAGCACAGTAAATCTGAGTGCATAGTATGTCATTTCATTCCGTTTGAGTTTCTCGAGTGTTTTCTTTAAATGTCTGCAGAGTTGCTGCCCCTTTCTTGAACTATGAGTACTCCAATCTTTTTAATTCTCAATATGAGGAGAGCTTTTTGAGCTTTAAATCCAAGGGGAACTCAACGGGCCTGGTTGGCATATGCAATGAACATCAAGAAACCATCTTGCTTTGGAAGCAAAATTGTTTTTCTTCTCCCTTTTTGAAAGATCCTTTTGATGCCAGTTTTCTTCCTTGTTTACACAGTTCAACAATTCGAAAGGAAAAGGCAATAGTAGGGTTTCAAAATGGCAGAGAAATTTGAAAGTCTCATGAACATTCATGGTTTTGATCTGGGCTCTAGGTATATGGACTTAAAACCATTGGGCTGTGGAGGCAATGGTTTGGTTTTTTCTGCTGTAGACAATGACTGTGACAAAAGAGTAGCCATCAAGAAAATTGTCCTTACTGATCCCCAGAGTGTCAAACATGCTCTACGTGAAATCAAAATCATTAGAAGACTTGACCATGATAACATTGTGAAAGTGTTTGAAATTCTTGGTCCTAGTGGAAACCAGTTAACAGATGATGTGGGCTCTCTTACCGAACTGAACAGTGTTTACATTGTTCAGGAGTACATGGAGACAGACTTGGCTAATGTGCTGGAGCAGGGCCCTTTACTGGAAGAGCATGCCCGGCTTTTCATGTATCAGCTGCTACGTGGGCTCAAATATATCCACTCTGCAAACGTACTGCACAGAGATCTCAAACCAGCTAATCTTTTCATTAATACTGAAGACTTGGTGCTGAAGATAGGTGACTTTGGTCTTGCGCGGATCATGGACCCCCATTATTCCCATAAGGTATGTGGAAAGCCAGCTCAGACAGACCTTGATTGATGTACATCATTAAGAATATGTACTTTTGTATTTCCTTTATGTATTGTGGCAGAATTTTTAGTTATTTATATTAAATTTTACATAATACAGTACCTTTTTACTTTTTATCCTCACCTGAAGACATGCTTAGAATCAATAATATTTTAGGATTTCACAATTATGGTTATTTTTTGTTTGTTTTGTAGATCCAGGATTCTTTATGTACTATTCTTCTGCTAAAGTAAAAAATTAAAGTATATTTTTATTTCTTTTTCAGGGTCATCTTTCTGAAGGATTGGTTACTAAATGGTACAGATCTCCGCGTCTTTTACTTTCTCCTAATAATTATACTAAAGCCATTGACATGTGGGCTGCAGGCTGCATCTTTGCTGAAATGCTGACTGGTAAAACCCTCTTTGCAGGTTAGAAAGTTAAAATATATGGGGTAAAATTTCAGAAAGAAATAATTTTGTATGTATCTATGAAGAAATACTTATCTAAGACTTAAAACAATTTATTATAGTCTGGAATAGTAAAATGTAAAGATTAAATGGTATTTTTAATATTTTAAAAGTTGAGAAAACTTATTCACATATTCACTGAATTGTTTACTCAGTTAATTTAGTGAGAATTATAGTGTTCTGCCCTGGCTGGTTAGCACAGTTGGCTAGAGCATCATCATTTTATGCTAAGGTTGTGGGTTCAATCCCCAATCAGGGCACATACAAAAAGCAACCAAAGAATGCATAAATAAGTGGAATAATAAGTCAATGTTTCTCTCTTTTTCTCTCAAATCAATACATTTTTTAAAAAGAATTCTAGTGTTCTTTTGTATGTATTTCTTAAATATAATTTTGTATTTCTTAGATCCATGACGCTTGTTGGTAATCTGTGTCAGAGATATCTGAGTTGCCTAGTTCTGTCAGTTTTTGTCACTTCCTGGTGACATTTTTTAGTTATTACTGAAAATCTAGAAATTCTTTCTTTGCCTGCCCTGCCCAATCATCCCTGTTGTTTGAGCTGCCATATCCTGTTGCCTGCCTAGTGTGATCTTTCAGAATCAAACAAACCAACTCAGATATATTTTGCTGAATTTAGTGCTATGAGGGAGTCTAAAGTGTGTGTGAGAGAGAATTTAGTCAAGATGGGAAGAGACAAATAATCCATGAAAAACACCAACTATCATAAAGCAAAGTTTTGAGTTGGTATAAAATTACTTAGTACAGACTCTAAAAGCTACAAACCTAGAGAAGCTATATCAGCAATGGCTGGCATGGAAGACATAAAGGAGTCAAAGGATTTTTCACTATATAGGAATAGTGAAGAATTTTGAAAGGTGAAAAGAGAGAGAGAAAAAGTGATATCTATTTATGGATATCTGTATAAATAAGGGCATGAGCCTGGTATACATGAATCAGTGAGAAAAGTTTGATGAAAACAAGGTGTAATATTTATGATTGGTTAAGATGGGGCCAGAACACTTAGGAAGTAGGCAGAGGAGTTTCCATTTGAAAAAGTAGGAAATAGTAGATTTTTTGTTAGAGAAGTGATGTGTTGGTGATTTGGGTATTTTTCTCTCTTTTGACTTACCTTTTTCCCTCTGTAACCAATGTTAGAGTGGGCCTCCCACCATTCCCAGTTTGTATTAAGAGCAGAAGGAAGAGAATGGAACAGAGTCTGCTTACAAAAGTAATAAAAGAAAGATTAGGGTGCATAAGAAAGCTTTATTGAAAGGATGATGTATATAAGTGCCCTTAAATTTTTTTGATACTGATACTTATAGCACCCAGCTTACCTAACATTAACTAATCTATTGGAATTTTTCCCCCCTAAATTTATCTGGAATTCCTTTCATGATGTGTGATAGTGATTGAATTTCATTGTAGAAAACTGTGAGAAAATACCAGTGATTACTGGAAATGAAATTGTTAAGTGGATTGAATTTTTTCTGAGGAACAATACTGTAATTACAAGTTATATTCCAGCATATATAAAATAATTATTTTATTATTTGTTGTTCTGTGACAAATTACTTCAAAACTTAAGTGGCTTAAATAACAAATAATTATTATCTCACAGTTTTTATGAGTCAGGAATTAGTGAGTGGCTTTGTTACCTGGTTCTAGCTCAGATTTGCTTAGTCAAGATATTGGTTGGGGTTTCAGTCATCTGAAGGCTCGCTGGGATAGGAGGTTCCACTTTTAGATTGCTTACTCACATGACTTTAAGCAGGAGGCTTTACTCAGTTCCGACTGTGGGCTTGCTTGAGTGTCTTCACAATATGGCAGCTGGCTTCCCCCAGAACTAATGTCCAAAAGAGAGAGCAAAGGAAGTTAATGTATCTTTTTTAAGAAAGTTTACATACCATATAGTTCCCCCCCTTAAAATATACAGTTCAGTATTTTTTTAGTATATTCACAGGATCTAATTTAGAACTTTTTTCCCCTCTGAAAGATGCCCTGTAACCATTAGCACTGTTACATGAGAACTCTTAAATTTTTGAAGAAATTTCACACTGTTTTCTAAAGCAGTTGTACCATTTACATTCCCGTTAGCAGTGTATGAGTTCCAATTTCTCCATATTATTACCAACACTTATTTAGAGTGTGGTCTGTCCTATTGTCTGTCTTTCAGATGTGAGATAGTGAAAGTAGTATTTTATTGTAATTTTGATTTGTATTTCCCTAATGATTAATGATTTTGAGCATATGTTTATTGGCCATATCTTCTTTGAAGAAATATCTATCCATTACCTATTTTTAAAAATATATGTAAATATATTTTAAATATAGTTTATTGATTTTTTACAGAGAGGAAGGGCGAGGGATAGAGAGTAAGAAACATCGATGAGAGAGAAACATTGATCAGCTGCCTCCTGCACACCCCCCACTGGGGATGTGCCCGCAACCAAGGTACATGCCCTTGACCAGAATCGAACCTGGGACCTTTCAGTCCGCAGGCCGACACTCTATCCACTGAGCCAAACCGGTCAGGGCAAAATATATTTTTATTGATTTCAGAAAGAGAGAGGGAGATAGAAATATCAATGATGAGAATATCATTGATTGGCTGCCTCCTACATGCCCCCCACTGGGGATAGAGCCCGCAACCCAGGCATGTGCTCTGACTGTAAATGGAACCGTGAACCCCTGGTTCATAGGTCAATGCTCAACCACTGAGACCCGCCGGCCAGGCTATCCAGACCCATTGCCTACTTTTTTTAATTTATTTTTTATTTTTTTAAATATATATTTTTTATTGATTTTTTACAGAGAGGAAGGGAGAATGATAGAGAGTTAGAAACATCAATGAGAGAGAAACATCGATCAGCTGCCTCCTGCACACCCCCTGCTGGGGACGTGCCCGCAACCAAGGTACATGCCCTTGACCGGAATCGAACCCGGGACCCTTCAGTCCCCAGGCCGACGGTCTATCCACTGAGCCAAACCAGTTAGGGCCCATTGCCTACTTTTTAATTGGGTTGTCTTTTTATAATTGAGGTGTAAGAGTTCTTTACATACTCTGGATACAGATCACTTATTAGATAAATGATTTGCATGTATTTTCTCCCATTCTGTGGGTTATCGCTTCATTTTCTTTTTTAAAAATATGCTTTTATTGATTTCAGGGAGGAAGGGAGAGGGAGAGAGAGAGAGAAACATCAGTGATGAGAGAGAATCATCGATTGGCTGCCTCCCGCATGCTCCCTACTGGGGATTGAGGCTGCTACCCGGGCATGTGCCCTGACTGGGAATTGAACCATGGCCACCTAGTTCATGTGTTAGTGCTCAACCACTGAACAACACTGGCCAGTCATCACTTCATTTTCTTGATGGTGTGTTTTGAAACACAGATGATTTTAATTCTGATTAAGTCCAATTCATCTGTTTTTTTCTTTTGTCACTTCTGCTTTTGGTGTCATATCTATGAAACTATTGTCTAACTTCTAAGAGTTTCATAGTTTTAGCTGTAAATTTAGGTCTGTGATCTATTGTGACTTAATTTTTATGCATGGTGTGAAGTAGGGGTCCATTGTCATTCTTTTAACCTGGATATCTAGTTATTCCGGCACCATTTGTGGGAAATATTATTCTTTCTCTTTTGAATTTCTCTGACCCCTTTGTCAAAAATCATGAATGTAAAATATCTTTTTGTTACGTAGACTCAAAAGTGACACACTGTCACTTGAGCTTTATTTCATGTGTTAGAAGCAAGTCACTAAGTACACCTAACACTTAAGGGGAGGTGAGTTGGATATCACCCTCTGAAGAGAAGACTATCAAAGCATTTGTGGACATATTTTAAAGTTATCACAATAATATTGTATCAAGAAAGCAAAAATTTAATTTGTTTAATTTAAAATCTAGGTAATGCTCCAAGTTGTATGAAATGGGGTCAGAATTTACTGCTGTATTGATTATACAAAGATAGTGTATTTTTAAATGTTCATTTAGTATATTCAGATATTGTTTATGAATAGCAATAAAAAGAATTAGATAAAGAAACAAACCACCTCTAAATAGGATAACTTTTATTGTCAACTCATGTAAACTTTAAACATTTAATGGAATTATTTGTGAAAGTATTTGAAAGGTCCAGCTGTAGTTTCCTTCTAATGCTTTATTGGTAGGTTTGTGAACCGTTCGATAAAAGCAGCATGAAGAGAGATCTAAGTGTTTATTAGGTATAGGCCTCTCAAATGAACCGAGCAATAAAATGGCAGGGACTAAGCATTCATTGGAAATCTGTGTATTTTTAAACTATAAGAAGTGTGCTGGCCTTATTTTTGGTACTTAATATATCAGTTGGATCTCGAATAGCTTCTCAAAACTTTTTTTCTGCTGTCTTCCTCATTATAGTAAAGCAGCCACTTTTTAGTTGTTTAGGCCAAAATCATCATCCTTCACCTTGTCAGCACAAATCCTGTGGGCTTTTCCTTCAAAATATATCCAGAATCTAACTGCTTGGTATTATCTGTATTGCTACCCCCCACCCTCCAGTTCAGTCAGCTATTATTTCTTTCCTGGTCTAATACAGGACCCTCTACATAGCTTTCCTGCTTTAATATTTGCTATCTATAGTCTAGTTGCCACATAGCAGCAATAGTAGTTCTCTGAAAACAGAAGTCAGATTATGTCATTTCCCTGATTAAACTAATGGCTTTCCACCCAGTTCAGGATGAAGCAGACCCTTTGTGTTCTCATCTTAGGCTGGGATCCATTTCTTTGCTCCACTCTTCCTCAGCTACACTTGCCTAATTGTTAGACATGCCAGGCCTACTCTCTCTCCTCAGGGCCTTGGGGCCTTTTCCCATCTTTCTGGCATTTCCTTTATCCATATGAATATATGTATGTTCCCTAATTTCCTCAACTTTCAACTTCTCAGTGAGGTATTCCTTGATCATCTTCTATGTATTAACCCTACCCCCAACAATCCTGTGTTCCCCCTTAACATACTCTATTTTTCTTCATAGCATTTGTCATCATTTGACATAAATGTTTACATTTATTATCTGTTTTTCTTCACTAGATTGTAAACTACATGAAGGTAGGGACTTGGTCTGATTTGTTTCATAGCTAGAGTCTAAAGTGCCTTGCTTATAGTAGGCACTCAGGAAAAATTTGAATGCTGAATGAATTTCTAGAAATTAGTGGAAAAGCAAAATGAATGGTTGTGGGTTTTGTTTTGTTTTTGTCACCCATTTAGCCCAAAGTCTCCTCTTTTATTTAATAGTGGTCCTGAAATGCTAACTGAGCCTAATACATAATTATAAAACTTTTTGTTTTGCAAATTTAGTTCAACCTTCCATTTTATTGATGATGAAATCAAGTCATCACCATGTTAAGTATTCCCAAAGTTATATAGCCAATTAGGTAGTGGTATAGCTAAAACTAGAATCCAAGTCTCTTGAATCCCAATTCATTGACTCCCCCCTTCCCCCGACTACTTTGATACCTTAACATGAGGCCAGACTTTAAGAGTTAGTTTCTTAGGGAAATAAAGAGCTAAAACTAAATATATTAATAACTAGAAATTGAAATAGATAGGTTTTTTGAGAAGATTAATGATATTAAAAAAACAATGAAACGTATTGATTAATGATTCAGTTAAAACCATTTCTTCCCCAATGGTCATTACAGTATTTAAGTTAACTTCTTAGAGCTTTAGAATGTTTATTACCAAATATGTAAACATTGAGGAATGTGTTTGTTTATATTATATTTGGTGTGGTTTTTTTTTTTTATCTCATTCAGGTGCACATGAACTTGAACAGATGCAGCTGATTTTAGAATCTATTCCTGTTGTTCATGAGGAAGATCGTCAGGAGCTTCTCAGCGTAATTCCAGTTTACATTAGAAATGACATGACTGAGCCACACAAACCTTTAACTCAGCTGCTTCCAGGAATTAGTCGAGAAGGTATTGTGACTCAAGAATAACCGTCACAAAGTGTGTGTGTGTGTGTGTGTGTGTGTGTGTGTGTGTGTGTGTGTGTGTGTGTGTAAGTAAGCAAGCAGGATCTGTGTAGGAAGCTTTAGCTTTTTATCCTTAGATGTATGACTTTCTCTTAAAAATAGTCTTTAGATATTTAAGGCATACCTAACGCTTAAACTCTCACTTTCTCTTTCTTGGCCTGGCACTTAAGCTGGGATCTGTTTTCTTTGCTCCTTTGAATCATTTTCCACATTTCAAAAAGTGCATACCTCTCTCCTGGTTCTAACTCCTTTTACTTTTCCAGTTTATACCTCTATCATAGGTGAGCGTATTGGATCATTGGCGTTCACTAAGCTGGAATGGAATTCTGTGAGGGTTATATAAATAAGTATGAGTAAGAATGATTTAGGTATGAAAAAGTGAATTTAGTTGGTTGGGCGGGGAGGGGAGAAGCAAAGGCTTCAGGACAAGGAGGAAGTGGAGGAATGAGCAAAACTGTGCTGAGCAAACACATTACATAAGTTTGCAGATTGGTGTTAGTATTAAGTGCTACAGTGAAAGTTTGTGCAAGCTTGAAAGTAGTAGGAACTTGGGGAGAATCAAAACGTTGACCACTAAAGCAATTTCATATCTAAAAATACTGACATACCTTTAGATTTGATATAAATAAGATACAAAAATCTTTAACTTTTACTAGTATAGTAATCTGTCATAAAAACTTTTTTTAGGAAGAGCATTAGACATGAAAAATATCTTCTTTAAAAGTTGATTGTGTCTTATATCTTTAAGAATTATATTATATTAGGAGACATCAGTGTCAGGATTATATAGTTCTGTCATGAATCACAAAGTTAGAGATACGTAGTTTCTTAAACATCTGAATTATACACCCATTATTCATATTACCAATTCTGATTATTGTATGTGGTTCAAGTGGGTGTGTGTCAGTGTTTTAAAGTAGCAAGTGTTTTGAGAGGTAGTTAGGCACTAGATTGCAAATCATGTTGACATGATCTCCTTCCCTCCCCCCAGATGTGCTTGGAACTCATATAGTAAATGCCTAAATAAAAAGGAAGCTGCTGTATTTAATTTCAACAGGTTTTGTGGGCTTCCTTTTAAGTCTTCTAAATTCCTAACCAGTCTTCGCTGTCCTCACAATCAGATTCCATTGCTGGTTCTCGTGCTCCTAACCTTATAGCCCTGTCACGACATCCTGTTCATAACTGAATAGCAGTCACATAGCACTTGACTATGCCTCAGAGTTTTCTGTGGGAACGTTTTAAAAATGCAGAATCTTAAGTCAGAATCCAGAGGTGGGGTGGGGACCAGGGCAGATATCGGTGTTTTTAAAACCTATAGGTATGGCCCTGCCAGCCAAGTTGAAAGACACTGCTTAGGGATCAAGTGGTTAGGTTCTGGAGTGTGTCATTGCTCTATTGCTCTGTCTTATCAAAAGAGACAAGCTAGAAATATAGGACATTGCTATTCAAGCATTGTAATCCAGCTAAATTTGAATCTTCTTTTTGCTACCCTCATTAAGGTGGGACCATGTCTCAGTCAGCTACAAACCAACCTGAATATTTGGCTCATGGCTGGAGTTTATTAAATATGTGTTGAACGAGAGGCTTTGATAATGGATTCATTAAGTTAACCATTCGACAAATATCCTTGGTATTCACAAGTGGTAGAACTTTGCTCACTAATGCAGAGTGTTTAAAGTTCTTGAGACTAAAGATCTACTTCATAGATATGCTCTATATGAATTAACATATTAAGACTAGGTCCCTTTCTAGGTAATGTCTTTAGATGAATACCTTCTTTTTCATTTTCCTCCATCATACTTACTTCTCATCCTCTCTTTCTCTGTAGTTTACCACATAGTTCTATATCTTAGACCCATTTCCTCTAGAGCAGTGCTGTCCAATAGAACTATCTACAATGATGGGAATGCATATACTGTATATGCATACACTTGGGAGCTCAGTGTGGCTCCCAAGTTTCTTATTTCTTCCTCTTTTTATTTGCTGCCTATAGTTCCCAAATGCTAGGGATTTTACAATATAGTTCTCTTGTGTAGTTGAATATATCTCCTCCTTCTCTCTGAGAATGGTGATTGTGCTGGGTCAACCATCCATGATTGTGTGCCTTCCAGTCTCTCTTGCCTTGAGACGTGTGGGCCCAGGGGTAGTTAAGACTGACTTTTTTTTTTGTTCAGGAGAACCAAGCACAGTTTGATTTATTGTGAAATGACCTCCTAGGTTAGGGTAATATAATAGAGGAGAGCGGGGAGCAAAGGAAGGGATCTCAGCCCCGGGTCACTGAGGGGTGTGAGCCTCGTTAGGTTTCTTCTCTTTAGTCTTTATGAGACTGATCTGAGGGTTGAATGAGCTTAGTTTTAGAGAGTAGGGCTATCTTTTCCTTTGAGACAGAAGGTAAGGATAATAGGATGTGTGACAGACCATAGTGAAGAAGCAGGAATTGAGATAAATGTGAAGTGGGTTTACCTGTTAAGACTGATAGGGTAGACTGAGAGTATAAAGGGATAGTGTAGAACATTGCTGAACACAATAGCAAAGGCTAAATTGAAATTCTACAGTATGAATTTGTAGTGAGCCAGGTATATATGTGATTTTCCATCTAGCTCTCATCAGTTCTATATGGCTAGGAAGCAAAGTAGATGGTGGAAATGATTCAGAGTTGAAGATTGGTATAAGTTATAAGACATATGAATGTGGTGGTGTAAGAGCAATCTTTAGGCTGGTGATAGTGTGGTTCAGGCGGGGTAAGGAGCTTAGGAAGATCTAACAGCCTGAGTTAGTGGGAAGAATTAGGTGTACAGTAGTTCCACCAGGGCCCTAAAATGATCAAGTGCATTATGTGATATGCTGGCATGAGATTGTTGTGAACAGAGATCAACAAATTAGTATAACAGCTAGTCAGTGAGATGAGGGAGGAAAGGAGAAAGTCTTTTTATTAAGCACTAGATACTATGTTTTTAAGTGTTTATACCTTATAAGATATCTCTGTCTATCCATTTTATACATTAAGAAACTGAAGTTCAGCAAATTTAAGTAACCTAGTGAATCAGTGAAGTTAGTGAGTTGCAGAGCTGAGATTAGGACCTATGTATTAGGTTGATCCACATGAAATTGCTGTTATTTGACCATTTTTGACTGACAAAAATGGTAGTTTCATATGGTTCGTATTAATATATTTCTTTTCTTTTATAATTGACCATAAAATGAGATTTGGAGTACATTTCAAATTTTTGCTATGTTTATTGAATAAATGTCTTTTCTTTTTAATATATATATATATATATATATATATATATATATATATATATATATATTAGATAGGCTAGTTTTATTTCTCTGACAAAACTTTAATTAACTTACCTTTTAATTGTATAGACCTTTTTTATTTCCTTTATGAGTTGGCGGACCTTTAGTTTAGTTAAGGAGTTTTAACTCTTTCTTTTGCAGCACTGGATTTCCTGGAACAAATTTTGACATTTAGCCCCATGGATCGATTGACGGCAGAAGAAGCACTTTCCCATCCTTACATGAGCATATATTCTTTTCCAATGGATGAGCCAATTTCCAGTCATCCTTTCCATATTGAAGATGAAGTTGATGATATTTTGCTTATGGATGAAACTCATAGTCACATTTATAACTGGGAAAGGTAAATTGATCCTAAATTAGAAAAATATTTATTATATTTTTAATAAATCATAACACAGTGAAGTTTATTTTTAAATTATATAACAATGTAGAGTTCTTAAAAATTTAGTAAAAGTCTCTTTTGGTTTAAAAGATATTGGATGAGAAGAATCAACCTTATACTATATCTCCATAAGTATCTCAAATTTAACATATAATCCATTATGTCATAGGATATAAATTATCATGATATTTATATTGAAATGTTTTTTCTCATGACAAAATTTATTTTGGAATGGTTAACATAAGTTCAGTATAAGGAACTTTGCTATTCTGAACCATATAAGACATCAGAATGTATACTATTATACATTTTAGTTAAAGGATTTCTTCCCTCTGCCACCTTTTAGGATTTCTAAATTCTAGAGAAGTTGGATATAATTATCTTAAAAGTGGGTTGGTAACATAATGAATCAATATTATTTAAAATCTTCAGGTGATTTTGTTATTTAGTCAGATTTGGGAATCCCCAATGACAATCTTAAAAACTTCAGGAATTCATATATTTCTTTATTTAAAAGAAAAATGATTGCCAATTAATAAAGAAGTTGTTAATGTTGAAATTAGTTTGTTTACTCATTGCATTTTTCCTCCTGAAATGTGGAGGTATTTCTGAATATGTTTACACACATCTACCAACATTTTTTTTTTTCTTCCACATGAACATTTCTACCACATATATACACATTCTTTCCAAACATACCCAGATGTATTCCAATCTCTTCATTTTTTATCATACTTAGTTGAGTCATCTAACCTCTTTTCTGTTCCCACCTTCCCATCTCCCCAATTGTTTTCGTGTGTGTCTCCATCTGCCTCTACCTGGGCATGGTGTGGTCTCCTTGCTGTGATGTGTCAGTAGAGGATACTGCAAGGATACTGCATTCAGTAGCACATACACATGGAGAGTTCCTTTTCTACTCACTGGTGATGAGGTCCAGGAAGCCTTCATCTCTTTCTAGTCTGCCTATTACCAGTAGAGAGAAAATCTGTAAGAGACTTGATTGAGATTAGAGATCTGCATTTAGTGGCCATGAAGTGTTTTGTCTCTGTAAAACTGTGCTGGAATTAACCATCGACATGCCACCCACTCAGATGTTCACCTGCAGTTGTATTTAAGGTGGATGAAAAATAGAGAAAAGGAAATAAGTGTGAAATTATAATTGGTCTTATTTAAGAATGGAGGTCCCAGAGTTTTTTATTATATATTTCATTGGTAATTACCAAATATTGCTTCATATTTTTCTTTATGGTTACAGATCTTACCTGTCTATTAAGATTATAAGTTCCTGTAGGGCAGGGAAGTCTTATAGCTTTAGACTCTATTATCCCCTCATAGGCCTATTACAGTGCTTTCATGTAAAGGGCACTCAGTGAATTTGCAAACGAAATTTGACACCTGGATTAACAGTAATGTATTGATTTTTTTCAGGTACCATGATTGTCAATTTTCAGAGCATGATTGGCCTATACATAATAACTTTGATATTGATGAAGTTCAGCGTGACCCAAGAGCTCTGTCTGATGTCACTGATGAAGAAGAAGTACAAGTTGATCCTCGAAAATATTTGGATGGAGATCGTGAAAAGTATTTGGAGGATCCTGCTTTTGATACCAGTTACTCCACTGAGCCTTGTTGGCAGTACCCAGATCATCATGAAAACAAATACTGTGATCTGGAGTGTAGCCATACTTGTAACTACAAAATGAGGTCATCATCATATTTAGATAACTTAGTTTGGAGAGAGAGTGAAGTTAACCATTACTATGAACCCAAGCTTATTATAGATCTTTCCAATTGGAAAGAACAAAGCAAAGAAAAATCTGATAAGAAAGGCAAGTCAAAATGTGAAAGGAATGGATTGGTTAAAGCCCAGATAGCTCTAGAGGAAGCATCACAGCAACTGGCTGAAAAAGAAAGGGAAAAGAACCAGGGATTTGACTTTGATTCTTTTATTGCAGGAACTATTCAACTTAGTTCACAACATGAGCCTACTGATGTTGTTGATAAATTAAATGACTTGAATAGCTCAGTGTCCCAACTAGAATTGAAAAGTTTGATATCAAAGTCAGTAAGCCGAGAAAAACAGGAAAAGGGAATGGCAAATTTAGCTCAATTAGAAGCCTTGTACCAGTCTTCTTGGGATAGCCAGTTTGTGGGTGGTGCGGAGGACTGTTTTCTCATAAACCAGTTTTGTTGTGAGGTAAGGAAGGATGAACAAATTGAGAAGGAAAACACTTATACCAGTTACTTGGACAAGTTCTTTAGTAGGAAAGAAGATACTGAAATGCTAGACACTGAGCCTATAGAAGATGGAAAGTTTGGGGAGAGAGGAAATGAGGAAGGATTTCTGAATAACAGTGGTGAGTTCCTCTTTAACAAGCAGCTTGAATCCATAGGCATCCCACAGTTTCACAGTCCAGTTGGGTCACCACTTAAGTCAATACAGGCCACATTAACACCTTCTGCTATGAAATCTTCCCCACAGATTCCTCATAAAACATACAGCAGCATTCTGAAACATCTGAACTAAAACACTCAGCAGACATTTCTCTTTGTATTCTTCATGAAATGTGTTTGTCTTTTTTATTACTAGTGTTTAAGTCCATTTTTTTACTTGAATCAGATGGTTTCATTTAGAAAGGATTTTATTAGTTCTTGGTTTTTAAAATCCAGACTTTTTTCCTACATGTGAGATGGTTTTCATTTTAACTGGCATGTCATTTGCACACAAAAATAAAAAATAGAGCAAAATAATGCAATGCAGGAGGAGACAAAAGAAATGCACTAAGACAAGTAAAAAACATTCTCTCATAGAACAATGATCTGTTTTACAGGAAACAAAAATCTTGCCTTGAAATTTACACAGTGAGACTGTATATAATTGCATGGAAATATCTATTTTTTTCCTAAAACATTTTTCATTCATGAGTATTTTCAAGTTTTTCATACTGTACATGTTTCTTAAAACACATGATACCAGCAGCAACTGAAAATGAATGCCGAATTTGGTACACATGTGTTATCTACCTCAAGGTAACAAAAGTATGTGGCAAAACATATACCACCCATAGTGCTTCACAATATGCACTTCTATTTAGCCAGCGTTTATTGTAGTAAACTATTCTTAATAAGATTCACTCACCATTTATAAATGTTCTGGTATGCATTCTTTATAGTGAAGTGTTATTACATCACATCTTATTTATTTTAGCAAAGCAGTATATTTTCTGTATTTAATTATAAAGAGTTAACTTAGTTTTTGAAATTTATTTACAAATACACTTTTTCCATTTGGCACTATGGTTTGTTGCCTACTTAGCTGAATATATAATGTCAGCTTACCCTAAAGGCTGTCCCTGTACTTAATTTACTTAAGTATTCATTTTAAGTAAAGTGCTCACTGTGTATAGGAATTTGTATTTTGGAGGTGCTTGATCTATCTACAAAGAAAAATTAGGAATTACTTTATTATAAAATGCTCCTAGAAGTCTTAATTGTGTTTATTTTTAAAAAACAACTGTAATGTTAGACTTGTGTGCATGGAAATAATTAAGGTACATCATAATTGTAGTTTAAAAGTTGTACATGATAAGACATATTTTGTTTTTACTGTATGTTTTTACTGAATGATCTATTCCCCATCCTAAGGCAAGCATGAATAAAATTAGGTTAAATGTAGCATGTGGCATTGCAGTCTCTTAGAATTTGTTTCATCCATTTTATTTTATTGAATTGAATACTGTCTGTATCTTTTTTTGGTTATCCTGTTTGAAGAAAAATGACAAATAAAACATGGCCAGCAAATATGGCTCCTGTATAACTTTTTAGGTAATTAAAATTACCTGCTAGAATGAAAATTACTAGCAGAATCTGTATCTAGTTCCACTTTTCAGCATTTTTGAATTATGGCTATAGTTTAAGCTATATTAGACTAAAGGCTTAAAAGAAAAAGGTTCTTTATCTCCATGCAAAATCTCTTGACTGACCTTCACATAATTAAATGGAATTAAAGCTTCCTGTAGTCATGTGCTGCTTAGCGATAGGAATATGTTCTGAGAAATGCATCCTTAGATGATTTTGTTGTGCGAACATCATAGAGTTCCATTACACAAACCTAGAAGGTATAGCCTACCTCACATCTAGGCTGTATAGTATACCACTGTCTTATATGTGTCATTATTGAAATGTTATGTCGCATGACTGTATATTTCAAAACTCAAGATGTGTATAGAAGCTTTGAGCTGCAGAGCCAGAGGAACCTCCTTTATATGTGTTTTTTTCTCCACTACATCTTTTTTGTTTTTTAATATATTTTATTGATTTTTTACGGAGAGGAAGGGAGAGGGATAGTTAGAAACATCAATGAGAGAGAAACATCGATCAGCTGCCTCCTGCACACTCCCCACTGGATATGTGCCCGTAACCAACGTACATGCCCTTGCCCGGAATTGAACCTGGGACCCTTGGGTCTGCAGGCCGATGCTGTATCCACTGAGCCAAACCGGATAGGGCTCTCCAATACATCTTTACTTTGCTCAAGAACTTATCCTTTTACCTATCCAAATATAAATCCAATCTTCCTTTTATCTCACTTTTCTATGTCTTCCTTCTTTGTTTTGTACATAGCCAGTTCTATTACAGTCTGGATTTCTTCCTGCCCAAGACCTATTGATTTCATCTGTAGTCATAAGTTTTAAAAAATGCAAATATTATCTGAATGAATATCATTGTCATATGTTGTGAACTGTTTTTTTTTTAGCCTCCATTCTGACTTGATTGACAGTTTGGGTTTTACAACACTTGGTAGAGTAAGCGTTCCCCAGCCAGACAGACTATCCATTTCCATAAAACATTTAGGTAAGGAAGACAGTTATTTCCATAAGCCTATTTAAACATTCCAACATTCATAATCCCATCAATCCTTTTATTGGGAAAGCAATCTTTATGTTCTCTTAGTCTAATTTAGCCCATGCATGTGCTTTGCCAATATATTTTGGGGCTGCAGTTTGTGGGGCTTCTGTGTCAAGGAGTCCAGAAACTACCTCCTGACCATTTTACCCACTTTGGTGCAAAGGCTTTGGGTCTCCAGTGAGGGGTCAAGTCAAGGGACCCCTGGTCCTTTTGTCAACCCTCATTTTGATCTCCCTAACCATTGCTCAAAGCAATTGCAGGTTAGATTTCTCATTATAATCTTTGAATCTTGGCTTCCAAAATGTCTCCCAAGCCAGAATAAATAAGACTTGTTTGGGGCTCTTTAATCTTGAGGGTTCAGTAGGGAGTTCTTTTGGCCTGCACCACCTTTGAGTAGTAGTAAAACCTTTGCTTGTACCCCATCAATGTTCACTTTACTCATACCTAACCATCGAGGGTGTGGGTGTTCATGTACTGGGCCAGGGCTGCTGTGGTTGGGGACCCAGCATTGGCTCCTCTGGGGGGCTCAGTGGCACGGATTCTGGGCAGCTCTCTCTCCCGAGATTAGCATAGGCAAAGACTAAAGGTCCTGAGTGGCAAAAGCTTTTCCCTGACAGCTATGAGGGCTGATTGGGGTCGTCTGCTGTCCTTTTCCTACAGAGAGGTCATAGCTGAGGGGCTCCCTCATGGTGGCAAGCTGTGCAGGACTGGGGGGTCGGCTGACATGTAAAATGCTGCCTATGCTTTTCTGTGTGGCCATCTTTGATTTCTGTGCTCCAGTGGGTTGCTGTAGCTTTTGCTCCCTCATTCAGCTCCATGTTGAGGCTGCTGAGCCCATGTACTCCAAAGCACTCTCAGCGCTATTTTCATCGGTAAGTAGTTGTTAATCATTGTTTTTCTGGAGGTACAAATGCTGGAACCTCCTACTCCACTAATCTTGCTGACGTCACACTCTTAAAAGTTTGTTGTCTTTTTTGTGTAAGAAATAAAGATGGTCCTTGGGGGACAGGACTTTAGCTGGGGTGCTTTCATGGTATAAGCTCAATCAGGACAGGGTAGGACCCAAGAAAAACTATCTGGCTTCCGCTCCCTCCAAAGGCACCGATGATGGTCCTTGATACTGAAATTTGGCTCAGGAGATTCGACAGACATTTCAGGCAATGATGAAGGTAGAGAGATGTCTTCTTACAGGAAAAGATAAATAACTGGCCTGTTTAGATGGGAGTTGACCCATGAAAAGTATTTGAAAATGTTTCTCAGTTTGTCAAGATTTGGATCACAGACTTTTCTCAAGACCTGTGAATATATCAGCCATCACACTGAAGATCAATCCTAGCTATCCCCCCTTCAACCAGGGCACTTTGGGAAGAGGCACTGATCTAAACTGTTGGGGTGATCATCCCCAGGTAAGGCATGTAGATGTGTAAACTGATCTAGGTCATAGGGAATGGAGGCTAAAGGAAGATCAGAGACGCCCAGACATAACGGAGATCCTGAGGCTGAGAATCCCATGATGCATTCCACACAGAGGTAACCAGCCCCTCCAGGTTGCTTGAAACCAGATGGTTCATGGTCATAGGCATTCACAACACTGGGACTAATGGGACGAGTGTTTGTAGAAGTTACGGATAAGGAGGTTTCCTCATTCACTGTGATGATTTGGTTTGGTGCTTCTAGTGCTATACTTGGCTGAGTTTGCAGCTGCTGCTTCCTCCTTTTGATATGCTGGTTCTTGAACCAAGTGTTTTTTACTAACTCATCAAGTTGAGTAGCTGAAGCAAGTTCTGCCATGGTAACTCAGTATGGGTACATGGTCTTTTCAAATGTATCTTTCCATAGCCACTGTTCTGGACTAAAGGTTGTGCAGTACCAGTGAGCAGATCTTGGCCTTTCAGCCATGTACTCTTTCTTAAGGAACCATGTGAGGATATAGGTCGGCCTGCCATAATACCTTTTAGCTGTAGAATGATCAGCTAGCTGTGTGTGTTTCTGAGCTCCTGAATTTCATCTGTCCAATTTAAATACATACTCAAGTTACCTTAAACAGGCAAGTTCTTAGAGGGAAAGCTTTCCGTTTTTCACCATTAGATTATGATAGATGTGAATTTTCATTTATGGTCTTTATGATGTCGAAGTAATTTTCTTCTGTTTCTATTTTGTTGAGTTTTCTTTTTATGAAAAGGTGCTGGATTTTGTCACATACTTTTTCTGTATTGAGAAAATCTTGGTTTTTGTCCTTCCTTTTGATAATGTGGTGTCTTACATTGATTTTTATATATTGAACCATCCTTGTATTCCAGGAATCCCATTTGTTTGTAATGTATTTTCCTTTTAATGTGTTGTTGGATTCAGTTTGTTAGTTTTTTGAGGATTTAATATTCATCAGGTATATTGGTTTATAGTTTTCTTATAATAACTTTGTCTGATTTTGTTATCAGTATAATGCTGGTCTGATAGAATGTGTTTTGAAGTATTCCCCACTGTTTAGTTTTTTAGAAGAGTTTGAGAAAGATTGGTGTTAATTCTTTAAATGTTTGATTGACTTCTATCTATAGTGAAGCCATGTGATCCTGGGCTTTTCTCTGTTGGGAGGTTTTTGATTATTGATTCAATCTCCTTACTAGTTATAGGTCTCTTACAATTTATTTGTGATAGGTTGCATGTTTCTAGAAATTGATTCGTTTTTTTCTATAGTCCAGTTTGTTGGCACATGATTGTTCATTATAGTCTCTTAGGATCCCCTTTTATTTTTGTATAAGTTGTAATGTCCCTCATTCATTTCTGATTTATATTATTTGAGTCCTTTCTCTTTGCCTAGCTAAGGATTTGTTGATTTGATTGATTTTTTCTATTCTCCACTTAATTTTTATTATTTCCTTCCTTTTGATACATTTAGATTTAGTTCTCATTTTTTTTAGTTATCTGAGGTGTAAAGTTAGATTATTGATTTGAGATCTTTATTTTTTAGAGCAGTTTTAGGTTCACAGCAAAATTGAGCAGAAGATAGAGAACTTTCCAATATACCTACTACCCCACACATGCATAGCCTCCCACATTATCAAAATCCTCCACCAGAGTGGTACATTTGTTGCAGCTGATGAACCTACATTGACACATCATTATCACCTAAAGTCTATCGTTCACATTAGAGTTTATATGCAGGAAGCAACCAATCAATGTGCCTCTCTCATATTGATGTTTCTCTCCCCTACTACCTACCCCTTCTACTCTAAAAAAATCAATGGAAAAAATATCCTTGAGTGAGGATATTTTGGTGTTGTATATGCATCCAACATTAAAGTACATACAGAGTATTTTCACTGCCCTAAAAATCCTCTGTGCTCTACCAATTTATCCTTTTCCCCCACCCCCAGAAAACCACCAATGTTTTTACTGTCTCCATAGCCTTGCCTTCTCCAGAATGTCATACATAGAGTTGGAATCATACAGTATGTAGCCTTTTAGACTGGCTTATTTCACTGAGTAATATGGATTAATCTGCTTGATTGTGTCTCATTATGTCCCTTAGGTTTTCTACACTTCTTTCATTCTTTTTTCTTTTTGTTCCTCTTACTCCAACTTGACAGCTCAAATAAACTATCGTAGAGTTCACTAATTCTTCTGCTTGATCAAGTCTGACGTTGATGCTCTCTAGTGAATTTTTCAATTCAGTTCTGGTATTCTTCAGCTGCAGAATTTCCATTTGATTCTTTAAAATATTTTCCATATTCTTATTTTGTTCATGCATCATTTTTCTGATTTTGTGTAGCTCTTCTGTGTTCTCATGTAACACATTGAGCTGCTTTTTGTTGTTGTTAATCCTCACTCAAGGATATTTTTTCCATTGATTTTTTTAGAGTAGAAGGGGTAGGTAGCGGGGGAGAGAAACATCAATATGAGAGAGGCACATTGATTGGTTGCTTCCTGCATGCTCCCCAGCTGGGGCCAGGGATGAACCTGCAACTCAGCTATGTGCCCTTGGGAATCAAACCCCAAACCCTTAGTGTGTGGGCCAACACTTTAACCACTGAACCACACCAGCGAAGGTGAACCACATTGAGCTTCTTTAAGATGGTTATTTTATTCTTTGTCAGATAATTAATAGATCTCCAGTTATTTTTTAAAAAATATATTTTATTGATTTTTTTACAGAGAGGAAGGGAGAGGGATAGAGAGTTAGAAACATCGATGAGAGAGAAACATCAATCAGCTGCCTCCTGCACACTCCCCACTGGGGATGTGCCCGCAACCAAGGTACATGCCCTTGACCGGAATCGAACCCAGGACCCTTGAGTCCGCAGGCCGATGCTGTATCCACTGAGCCAAACTGGTTAGGGCTCTCCAGTTATTTTTGGCTAGCTTATGGAAATTTATTTCTTTGATTGAGCCATGCTTCCCTGTTTCTTCATATGTCTTATTTTTTGTTGTGATTTTTGCATTGGAAAAAAAGAGCCGCCTTTGCCTGTCTTTACAGACTGGCATTGTACTGGGGAAGATCTACACCAATCATCCTGCTAGACCAGTGGTTCTCAACCTTCCTACTGCCGCGACCCTTTAATACAGTTCCTCATGTTGTGGTGACCCCCCACCATAACATTATTTTCGTTGCTACTTCATAACTGTAATTTTGCTACTGTTATGAATCGTAATGTAAATATCTGATATGCAGGATGTATTTTCATTGTTTGCGACCCACAGGTTGAGAACTGCTGTGCTATAGATTCTTGGGGCATCTCAAACCTTAAATGGGGATGTATCATCTCTCTATTTGTGTGTAATTCCTCCCTTGCCCCCAACAGATTTGATATTCTTTTTTCTGGAGGTTGTAGTTTCTTGTTCCTTCTGGTGTCTGTCTGAATTACCTCTGGTTCTCTGGCACTACAACAACTCTCTGAGCTCACTTTCTCAGTGGCTCCCAGGCATCAAATTAGTGCTTTGAGTCAGGTCATACTGGAATCAGTCTCTTAGGCAGCCCTCCCACAGCCTGGCACATAGACGATTGTTCTCTTTCCCTCCTGAGGAAGAAGCCGTGAGGCAAGCTTTTCCTTCTAATCATGAGCTATGCTGGCTCGGGGGAGGGGCTAACATGGTGGATATGAAACAGCTTTTCTTGTCCTTTTCAATGTACTTGGCTTTGAGGTTGTCTGGGGTACTGTGACTTCCTAACTGGTTTCTGGAGTTCTCCTAAAGGCTTTATGGACGATATATTGTTAGGTTGATATTTCTGTGGGGTAGTGAGGTGTTGGGCTTCCTATTCTGCCATCTTGCTTATGTCTAAAAATAATTTACTTTTCAGAGAGAAAGGGAGAGGGGGAGAGAGAGAGAAAAAAACATCAGTGATGAGAGAGAAACACTGATCGGCTGCTTCCTACTGGGGATCAAGCCCAAAACCCCAAAACTCAAGCATATGCCCTGACTGGAATCGAACTGTGACCTCCCAGGTTCATAGATTGACACTCAACCACTGAGCCACACCACCCAAGCAATAATTTACTTTTAAAAGGACTAATTCTGACTTAGAGGAATGTCCACCTGTTCTGCAGCTTTCAGACTTTTGGTATGGTCCTGGTCAATAGATTTGACCCATCTCTGAACTGATAGTTTGGCATCATAATTTTAAAAGCTATTTCTGGAGCTTGGACATTAGCCTAATTTGGAGCCTGTATTGTTCCCTTCCACCTTTTGGGTGTTTTGTTTTTAAATGAGATTTCAGGCATATAGAAACAGTGTATAAAATTTTTAAAAAGTGTACACACCAACTTTGTTAGTTCATCTCATTTTTTGATTTGCATCTGATAAACACTTACAGAATACAACGGAATCCCTCCTTAAATCTCCTACATCTCGTACCCTGCCTCTCTCCTCTAAGGCACATACTTTTCCTAGGTTTGCTTATCATTCTCATGCATAGTTTTATACTTTACTACATGATTTTGTAAACATGAATATTTTCATGTTTTAAAATCTCATGGCGTATTTTTCATATCTTTTAGCAATTTGCATTTTTTGCTCAACATGTCTGAAATTTAATTATGTTGATACAGGTAGCTCTAATTCCGTTAATTGCTGTGTTGCAATGTAATCATTTTTTAAATAACATTTGTTTTCAAAATTTTGCTCCTACAAACAAACACATTTGCAGTGAGCATTCTTGTGAACAAGACAAGTGTCTTCAGGGTATGTATCTCGAAGTAGAATTGGTGGGTCATAGAGAATGTGTATCTTCAAGTTTATGAGATGTCACTTTGCTGCCCAAATGTGAGTGTACAGATTTACACTCCTGCCAGCAGTATGAAAGCGCCTATTCAGACACATCCTCCCAAACGAGAACCCAAGCCTTTTCCATTCAATTAATCCTACCAAGCTTGCTGTGTTTCGTTTACTTTAACTACAGTAGAAATTGGACTTCCTAATTCCAAACAACTGACTAAGTCATAACTACACCTCAGGGAGTCTTTTGCAGCCATATCGATGATGATGAGTCTTGTTTTTTATTTCCTGTTGCAGTCTAGCTTGGGAACAGGGGATTTAAATAAAGCTGAGCCAATTATGTAACTTATAATAAGGAGTAAAAGAGTATCAGTAATTGAAGTGTTTTCAAAATAATTTTGCTTCTATGTTAAATAATGTAGGTTCTGCATAGTCTTCCTCCTTATAAGATTATTGTTTTATTTAAAAGGACTGTTTTCTATCAGCTGCTTGGTGTGTATTATATAGTGTGTTTAATTAGTGGGCTGGTCCTCATGCTCTTTGAATCACTGAATTGCTCACTTATCTTAGACTTTTCAGTT